TATAGGATGTGAGGTGTGGGGTTAGCGGGTGCTTGCTTTTTCACCCTCAAGACTCTGAGCCACAGACAGTCTGACAAATCTGCAAGCGCTCTTTGAGAACGTAAGCCCAAGGTTTCACAGCTTGAACCAACCAACCAGCCAACCTACTCGAACAATCCTAAACATTCACCTCAACACCTGCAGAAAACAGCAGGGCCGAGTGCAAGGCCATTCTGTGGCACACGATGCGAGCGTCTGGGGAGGAAATAAAGTTTAGGTTTCTTGCTTCAAGGTTGAGGGCCTTAGGGTCGTCCTGCCCTTCGTATCGACTGGCCCAATGCTGAGCCTTTCTTCATGTGCGTGGAGCACGAGAGTTGTAAGGCTCCCCGCCCCGTGTTTGGTGTTTTGGGTGTTCTGGGTCGTGAATCAAAGAGGGCCATACACGGACAGGGTATCCTTGATAACCACCGTACCCTCCGTATGCTTTTGAGGGTTCAGGGGCTAGGAGCACTGTTGCAAATCGGATTTAGCCGCATGATTGATGGGCAGTCGATGCTGGGGGTTTAGCTTTGGGGTTGAAGGTTTCAAGGTGTAGTTTCAGGCTTGACTTGTGAAGCTTCTTGGGGTTGATTGGACATGCGCTGCCAGCACCTCGAGCCATTCTGATGAAAACACCTACGTCCAAACCATCGACGACAGGAGCCGAGAACCCGAAGGCTGAACAGTCCCCGAAGATGCTCATCCCCTGCACTGTCTTGTAATGACTTGTTTTGGGGTCCAGCGGTCTGGGTTCTATTTTCCATCGTCGGGTGGGGTCGGCGAAAGTGGAGTTCAATGTTAAGGAATCACAGCTTACGACTCCGAGTTCCTTCAAAATGCCGGGTGAAGGGCCAATGGAGGTGCCCTGCTTGTTTCTACAACGGATGCGCATAAGTGCTGGATCGTTCTTGCATCCACAGAGCTGCCAGGAGTCCTAAAACCTGAGCACGCCAGTGACAATCTGCTTCTCGACGCTCCGAAGCCTGAACTCGGAGCCCAAGGTCGTAAATCCTCAACCCCAAAAGCCCTGCTGAGCTTCCCCGCAGACATAGAGCAAGACCGGAGTCATCTAGGAACCCATGGGTTACATCGTGACCGAACCTGGGACAGGCTGAGACATGG